TATATATATATATATTGCTCGCATAAAATCACCGGGGTTTTTTGCTTTGTATGCCGGGGGCGGGACATTCATGTGATTGGGTGTTGGTCGCGGTGCTCGAATAAAATCCCCAATAGTAGAGGACCTGGGTTAGATATGTATGCACTTAATTTAGGAGAGAATATCTCAACTGTTCTAGACTAATATGACCCCACTGAACAACTTGGGATGTGTGCCAAAATCTCTATCCGGGACGAAAAGCCCCAAAATGACCACGCCCTTTTTTTAAAGACCACGCCCCTTTTCATCGGAAGTGCTACTTCCGATATAGCTGTATCTTCTAAACCGTTTGAGCTACATATTTTCTGAGGTGCTCAAAATGTTCAGAATGGCAATATCTAGGGGGAGGGGGTATTCCCGAGAACATTCGGTCCACTTATTACCATACAACTACCCAAGTACTGGAAATTGAGTTATCCTCTCATGAATTATGTGCATACATGCCTATCTTAACTTAGGTCTTCTACTAATTAATATAACCATTGAATTTTATATAAAACTAACTGCTTTTTGTTTATTCATAGCACCAGTGCTAACAGCTGGAGAGAGTACGAGAGAAAGACTTATCCATCCAGTTTAACAGAGATAATATCTCACTGAAGTACAGTGAAATGGTAAGACAAGCTTTAATTTTTTTATTTACCTACCTCTTCTTTCTGTGGGTATGCCAAGTAGTATATTGTATGGTGATACTGATAACCCATGCCATCGATAATTTTAAACATGTTTCTTTTATTTTCAGGATGTGGTACCGCTCGCTGCTCCTTCTGCTAAACCTAAGCCAATCAAGCCGATCGATCTCGAGGAGTGCATCCTATGCCAGAAGAAGAACCGATCTGAGTACCTCTCTAGTGGTGAAATCGGCACGGGTTATATTGTTTCGCTTGCCAAACAAACAGAGAGTAATGACACTCGAGCTGCTAGGGTTCTTCAACTGACCGTGCAAGAGCAGGGTATCATGAATTACCACACCTCATCTTGCTACAGAAGTTTTCAAAGGGATATGGCTAAGACTGACAGCATAACCCAACCACTATTAATGATACATCTGAGCGACACAGCAAGCGATTTAAGTCCAGTGTAACTACAAATGTCTGTATCTTTTGTGGTTCGGATTGCAAGACATTTAAACAGAAGAAAATACACACATTGTTCAGAATCTGTGAAAGGCCCATGGCCCAAAAACTACTAAATGCGGCCATGTTGTTCAAGGACCATGTGTACACTGAAACAGCGGCAATGTGTGAGCTAGATGATGTTTTTGCGGCTGATATCCGATATCACGACCAATGTTGTAAAGTCTATTTCAATAAATATCATGCTAAAATTGATGAAATACTGAAAAACCTCGAAAAGGAGGAGTCGGTAACAGCCGGAGACAACTCCTTCAAGGCTAGATTTTTAGCCCTTTGGATTGACTTTAGTAGGTCAGCACACAGTCTGACTTCCATCAGAGACAGGCTAAATGAAGGTTCAGCTGGAATAGTGTCAAACAGAACTGTAAAGCAGCTGATCATCGAGATGTGTGGAGACGCCGTCTGTTTTACATACCCAAGTAACAAACGAATATCCCAGATGGTACTTTGTACCAACAGTTCTATAGAGGCCTTGGTAGAGTCCCTGCGAGTTTCACCTGTCCAACAGGTTGCAACTGAGCTGGCGCAGGAGCTGAATGGGTGTCCCTGCAGGGTAGCTGGGATCAAGTGTTGCAAGTACTGCAAATGCAAGGGAGGTGATTGTTGTAAAAAACCTATCACTGAATGAGCACTGCTCATCATCCTCATACGGGGACCTGGACTCTGTTGTCTTACTCTTCATGTTCCTCACCCTGGTTTACGTGACACATAAACAGTACTAATGTGGTGTTAAATAAGTATTGTTGGCTGTTGGGTTATTTATTTAAGCTCTCTACATGACACAAATGTTCTAACTTTGCTCTAAGTCCAGAAATTTTAAATTAATAAATATAATGGCCATTCCAGTGTGTATAGGTAGTTGTATGTAAGTTGACCTATTAACGGTTTTTAGCCATTTCTAGTAAAATATGAACATTTTGAGGGCCTCAAAAGCAGTCTTGTTAGTTTATAATTCAATGGTTATATTAATTAGTAGAAGACCTAAGTTAAGATAGGCATGTATGCACATAATTCATGAGAGGATAACTCAATTTCCAGTACTTGGGTAGTTGTATGGTAATAAGTGGACCGAATGTTCTCGTGAAATATCAAATTAGAAATTTCTAATACCCCCTCCCCCTAGATATGGCCATTCTGAACATTTTGAGCACCTCAGAAAATCTGTAGCTCAAACGGTTTAGAAGATACAGCTATATCGGAAGTAGCACTTCCGATGAAAAGGGGCGTGGTCCGGTGCCCTTGATAGTTGGTTGAAAGTTCTGATGTTCAATATTGTAAATAGTGACATTTTCCAGTTTCTTATATTTATATAAATAGTTGGTTGAAAAAAACATATTTATAATAAATTGTTGGTTGAAAAAAAAAGTTTGAATGGTCAATTTGTATTTGTACACATCACATGAACCTTGGTATGTAATATGAATTCATTATTCAGTCCTAATGTATCTCAGTCCCTTCTGTGGTGAAAGTAGAGTGATAAACACCTATTTTACTCAAAATTCGAATTGAATCGTTTTTCATTTTAGACATGAATAACACATTTATATACAGTGTAATTCAAATATTTCACTGCTTTTGTGATCCTAAGAATTTGGTAACCAAATCTAAAACACCAAAACAATTCGATCACATGAGTAAATTTGTGTTTTCACAAGTTTTAAAGATTTCCCGAAAATCGGATGTCAAATTTTAAGTTTTTGAGCTACTTATCTCATCAAACAGTGCTCTAAGGTGAGTAATTTGCATATATAGCTATACCAGAGATTGTTGTGAACATTTTGATATGTAACACATGGGGTGCTATGTTAGAAGAAATACATTTAAAAGGTGATTTAAGAAAACATCTAAAAATTGAGAAAATACCCTTAGACTCCAGAGGGTTATAACAAACTGAAACTTAAAGAAAATGTATTTTGTCAATCTATCAGCTTCTTATTATCAGAACTGCAGTCAAACATGAATTTTTATTATTTCCATTGGAATATTTTACCTGACTTTAGTGCTTTTTCAATTTTATATAAATATTGTAATGAAAACTTTATTTATTGTTCCGTTTAATAGCTTCCATGTAATGTTACCAAGTGACTCCAGATCAATCCACAATTGTATAACTACACTGGAAGGTAGGAAGCATCTCTTTTATTAGATTTGATTCCACCTTCTGTTCATTATGATTTTTACGATATCATTTATGTAACTCCTGGATTTCTCCAATAGCTTCCTTATAATGTCACACTATGACTCTCAATCAGTGCAAATTTGTTTTACAACGCCGGACAAGTAGGAAGCAAGTGATGCCTTTTTCTAATTCATAAGCATGTTCTAATCAAGCCAACAAAGGATATCAAAATTCATTCTCCATTAAAGTTTAACTCAGCTGTTTGTCACATTGTTAAATGAACTGATTGTGTAAAGTAAACTACCATGTGTACATCTGCTCATCACCCATGTACCATTGTTGAATTGCATTCCATTGATGAAAATGTTTATCAAAATGTAAAAGCAGACAAACACAGCACTTAGGATTTGTTTCAGTATATAACTATATTGTTTGTACTTCCAAAGTGTAACAGCTTACAAACTGCATTTGAAAATTAAACATGAGCATTTGGAGATAACATCTCCCGATCACTGGGATTCACCTGAATGAGTGAATCAATCTACTGCATGATAAGACAAAGTGTGCCAGCAAAGTGTGCCAGCAAAGGTAGCCCCCGCCCTCCCCCCCTTTAAAAAAAAAAACAAAAAAAATTCCTTTTATTTTAATGCGTTGGGTTAGGGCAATTATATCCAACAGAATACTTATCACTTAAGAAATTAGGCCAAAAAATAAAACATGATTTCTCCAGTAATCATGGTGATTGAATGTGAAGATATAGAGGAAACAGTGCAGGGCTGCTCGTGTGTTTCGGCGCTAGAAGACGGCACACGGCGCGTTGCGGTCTTTCTGACGACTGATTGGCTGAGAGTATCCACCGGGACAAAACACACCGGTTAGCGCATCCGCATGTGCAGGCTGTGCTTGGGTCCATCCACCCGCTCCAACTTCTCAAAATGTTTCCTAGCATTACGGATATTGATGAGAGTGGCTGCAGATGCTGGGGAAAAAATGGAAACATGGATTAATATCATGCTAATTGGGTGTCTCCACTGCACATTCGGTCTTTATCGTCACTACTTACGAATGGAGGGGTCGGACATGATGACCATGACATATGTGTTGGAGGTGAAGACGTCAATGAATGCCGCAAAGTTGGAGTTCCTCACTTCCATGCTTTGGAAACAGGCTGCAAGTTTACTAGAAAAACAAAAAAGAGATTTAGGCATATGATAGCTATGTAACAGCGATTAACATGATGATTCAGCCTCTATGGAGATAGACACATGACAAGCATGATCATTTCTGACGTGGGTCTTAGCTAATCTAAACTAAACATTGTATACTGCTTTGAACCGGTATTCCTCCATCTTGTGACTCTGGAACACCCTCTCTTGTGTATAAAGCATGTGAAGGACACTGTTAAGGAACTAGTTGTACCATATGCTCTTTATGTGATGACTACTTCCATTCTTGCAAGGATAATAAATACATGTATCCTGATATTGAAGCCGGTGACGAGTGATATTTTTCAAACAGGACCCAGAGATGGCAAAAGTACACACATCCTTTACTCAAATAGAAGTACAGATACTGGTGTTTAAAAATACTGACTAAACTTTACTCAAGTAAAAGTAAAGAAGTATGGGCTTCGAAATGTACTTAAGTAAAAAGTACCCATAACTACCATCTTTTTGAAAGAGTAACTGACCTCCCTTTTATATTAATAGAACAATAATGTAATTGTTAGCTAATGAATGTTTCCATGCTGAACAACGGCAACATGACAACGTTTTCATTGGTCGTTCTTGTTTAGAGAAGACCAGGAAATGATGGATACACAGATCTTGTTAAAATCAATAGGCACGCAATGACTAAATAATAATGATCACGCCACCAAACGTAGATTAAAACTAAAGTAACAAGCCTCTTTTAGAAATGTAAGAAATAGAAAGTACAGGTATTTGTGTTAAAAATAGAAGTAAAAGTAAAAAGTCGTCAGATAAATAAGTAGTGGTTCTGATACCTGAAAAATGTACTTAAGTACAGTAACAAAGTATTTGTACTCCACTACTTCCCACCTCTGACAGGAACGCGGTGTGACGTTGATGTTCCCGCAGAGTGCACTTACCTACAGCTGAGTTTGAACTGTTTGATAATGTTACTGATCTTCTCGAACCGGTGGACATCGCGCTGCTCTTTGCACTGGTAGTGGGAGATCACCTGCATTTAAAACATAAAAATATAAAGTTTCATAACTACTTCCAGATGTTCTGCCGGGTCGTGCCAGAGGAACAGTTGCTCTCACCAGGAAGGTGGCTCTCTCAAACAGAAGCACTTCATCAGCTTCTATGATCTGCGCAAAGTTTCTCAGGTTTGTCTCCAGCTGCTGGACATTGGGGATGAGCTGGTATACAATGCTGGACCAGGCCTGCGGAGACATTTCAAAATAGTTTTCTTACAGTGTCAACTTTACTACATGACATGTGAACATACAACTGGTCAAGTGTCGGAACCTTATACAGGGTTTCGTCCCAGATTGATGTCCTGAAGCACGTGCAGGCCAGAGGTCTGGACAGCCTCTTCAGGTCTTCTTCACGCTCCTTAAAGATCTGTAAACAGCTAGATAGTCAGTATCATAAATGGTATGGAAGCAATAAGATTTATTGTGAATTAACAACATTTTTATTTTCTTTAAGTATTCCTATAAAGCATGATTATAATCATTTAAAGAAAGAGACATTGTTTATTAGGTCTAAACTTAAATGTATTGAAATCTCAACATCATATGATTTTACCTTTCCCAGCCTACAAATTGTATTTTACAGAGTTAATAATTTGTTTGGTAAATATCTTCAAAATAATCAAACCATGATCATTTTTATATTTCTTTTTAGGTAGAATAGGGCAATACATTGTAATATTACCGATACTAACTAAAGAGATGACCAAGATTACGGGTAGCCTGCTGATGTTTTATCTTAAATGGTTCTGCGTATTCTAAACATAATAATATGACGTAAATGTTGAGATGTTAGCAAAATGATATACAATTTAACAAAGTACATGTATATTCCCTTTTTTGTAAGAGGCTGGCTGATAATGTCAAAGTAATGATTTTATTGTGTTATTAAGGATAGGGTAAAAAATATATATATTATAAAATAGTTTATCGTCACCTTACTTTCATTTTCTACCACTCACCGTCATGTTTACTTGCTTCTGTGTGAGACAACAAACATGTTTACACCAGTATTATAATACATCTAAATCAGTAAGCTTACCAGATCTCTCTGGTCCTCCTGCACCAGATCCATTTTGTGGACGAGGCAGAACACTTTAGCGTCGGGGGAGTTTTGCAGGATGGCTTCCAGACACGACTGGTAGTAGTGCATGTCTTTCTCCAGCTCACGGCTCTCCACGTCGAAAACATAAATAAGCACCTCTACATTTCTGAAGATGTTGTCCCTCTGGCTGGTGAAGTAGTTCTCCATGAATGTGTCCTGTCTGTTGGGATTCACAGAGGGTTTCAGATCAGGGAAAACACTTTAAAGAGTTGAAACTGGTCTAAAAGAGGGCAAATAATTCACAAAGGTTCTTTACCCTCCACAGTCCCAAAGGTTCAAAACCAGATTGCCAAGAAACCGTACATGGGAGTGCTCCACGTCAACTATATTCACAGAGGGAGAAAAAATTGTTTAATAAATTAGATCAAAAAAACATTTAACTTATTTCAGCTGTCGCCTTTCTTCAAAGTACACTTACTTGTAGCTCCGAGGCGGCGTGTATCTCGAGCTATGTAATTTGCAAATATGATGGATCTCATACTCGTCTTCCCGGAACCACTTTTCCCCATCAGTAACACCTGAAAGCACAAATGCAACCGATTTGATCAGATCACTGAAATGAAATCCTTTTCTATCCTCTTATAGGCGAATGACCAGAGGTAGAATATCCAGACATGTCACTTTAATAAATGTAGAACTTGTAGTATCACAATGTAAAAAAACCTTTGTCAAAATAAGTTAAGTATTCTGTGCAAAAGTGAAAGTACTCATGTTGCAGCAGAATTACCCCAGTCAGTGTCATTTTATATTATGTTATAATTGTGGCAATAACCTGTATCACATATAGATGTCAGTGCATCATATTATTTTAACTGTTCATTTGTGACTCATATGTTATCAGTATATGACATTTTGGACACCCAAAAACCTGTATATTATTTAAACTAAATTATATACTTTGACTTAATGTTTACTAAGGTTACAAATATTACATAGCAATATGTGCATTTTCCATTATGTTAGCTATTGCTACAGCTTTTAGGGCTATTTTATGGCAATCATTGTACTACTGTAAACAAGTATCAGCATAACCTATTGTAAACAAGTACTACTCAATATTGCACTTGTGTATTCCACCACTATTTTTGATACAACAAAGTCACCGATGAGCCCCTGCTTCACCTTTTTCTTCATGGCTGTGCTTGACATCCCTCTCACCAGGCAGAGTAGAGTATTTATCTGGGCTTTAAGTCTGGTGACTTAAGAGACTGCAGCAGATCTCCTGTAGCTGCAGAAAACACAAAAATGTTTCACTTAGCTGTCACCTAATGTCAGCTCTACTGAAGCAGAACACCAATAAAAGTACAGAGGACACGTTTAAAGGCTTACATAACGAACACGTGTCACCAGTCATGAGCTTAATACACACACAATTATGTATAAACAGTTAACAGACTTAAAACAATTTTCTCTGTTCCGGAAAAACACTTAAGCTAATGCTAAGTTAGCTAGCACGACACACAGTCCAGTTAAATTGGAGTTTGGTTACCCGAGCTAAACAGCTAGCTAGCTAAGTTAAGCACGTAAGTGTAAAGTCTACTTACCACGACAGGGTAGAACGTTTAGTTAAAACACAATCTATTGCAGATGACTTAGTATTTGAGATCAGGAGTATAGTTGTATACATTACTTGGTACTAGAAGAAGGCAGTGAAGGCAGATCAGCTGCTTCCTGTTTACGCCAGAGTCACATGATGATACGCTTTCTGCCCAGAGGTCTTTGGTCCATTTCCAAATCTGTTTTCTCCAAAAAGGAGGGGCACACACACTCAACCACATTGATATTATTGTAAATTATCCTTATACTGTATTGTATTTAAATAACATGTGAACAATCGACAGATGATTTCCCGGATAGAAACCTGTGAAAAAAACTCATTATTTGTAGAACCACACCAACGCCGTTAAAACAGCGATACTAATAAATAGACAGATATTAACTCTAATTATACACGAGTTGTGTTGCAGTTCCTCACAGTGCCCACTAGAGGGCAATACTGTACACTGGTATATCATTATAAACAGTCCATGGTTAAAGCATACAGCCTTGCTGCACATGCGCACTAGTATTCTCGGTTCTCACTACATCTGACACACAAACATACAATACACTTAAACCCCTTAAAAGTCTGCAATTAATTTATAAATTTCTTAAATATTATATTTTATGAATATTTTTTTTGTTTTTTAAGTTCATTGCTAGACAACATGAGTTTATTACACATTTGGGGTGTATTCATTCATCATGAATATTTCTGTATAAGTGAAAGGTGTATACTGCCTATATAGCTATGTTCCTTGTTGTATTTATTATATATTTTATCTTGTTTATCCTCTCCTTAACTAATTTCATTTTTTGTATTCATGCACTCGATGCCATAGTTACAACACACGCAAATAACATAATATCAGTATCTTACTGAACATAGATTCAAGTTTACAGCGAAATTGAGTTGTACAGTTCATTTGTAATCACAGTGTAGGATCATTTCTTCATCTGCATGCAGTGGAGCAGAAGTTTGTTTTAAATGGCTTGAAGGACTTCCCCTTGAGGAGAACTTTGATTACCAAGAGGGACACGGCGACAGCAGACAGAGGGCAAACACAGAGAGCAGCTCATTTGGACCACTTGTCTCCTTTTGGTTGAGGGGCGATGGCCAAAAATATACGCATAAATCATGAGAGCCACTTTTCTCACACCTGAGACTTGTTATCATCTTGTATATGATTATATTACATATTCATATTATGCACCAATGTCTTTTTTTGCACTGAATATCTCAAAATATATATTTTTAATGATTAGTATTGGATGTACACTAAGAATATTCATTAGTTAGATTAGGCATGCGTTTGTCTACAAATATTGGCACCTACTGTACGTAATGTTGAAACTACACCATTTGTTTGCATTTCACCCCGCGATAGTTGTCGAGCTAATATTTCATCAGAAAAGCACACTACAATTTTTGCCAATTATATAAAGCATATAGTTTAGCAGTTCGATTTCAATATTGACCCTTCACAATAGATATATTGGTAAAGTAAATGCAATGAATAGAATTGGTAAATCAATGTATTCAAACGGCAAAAAGATAAAAGTACTATAAAACTTTATTGTTGCTAACTGTATATAATATCCAAACTGTACCCGCTTACCAAATGATCAGTGAAAATACTGAAGTTCACCAACACAGGTTTTTCATCCAATATCTTCTAAAATATAATCCTCAGAATTAAATCTCAACAAATCTAAAGAATTCAGTTCACCAGTAAGCAAGAAGGTCTTTCACACGAAGAGAAAAATGCTTATACGGTTCCGCAATCATGCGCTTATTAACAACAAGTTGAATTGTATAACCCCAAACCTTCAGCTTATGCACCAAAAGTATATGAAATATGCCAATAAATACAGGGTAACGACTGTCACGCTCTATAATTGAAAAATGTAAGTCGTTCTTGAGTATACATGTTAAACAATAAAGCCACATTAGATCTTACTTTTTGGAAAATAATATATTTAAGAAATGTATACATTTTCCAAATCTAGCACCTCTGAGTCTACAGAGGCCAAAGGTTATTATTAACACAGTCAACAAGAGTCATTATGTGAGGAAAGAAAAAATGATGCAGTAGCTCCTCGACAGAGACACAAGAGATGAAGAAGGAGAATATGAACGATGGAAGTAAAAAGGTTTTTGGGTGAAATATTCAGGTAGTTTTCTGGAACAGTCGCTCTTCACATTTGATCGCGGAGTTTGGCGAGCCTTTGAGAAAGTTCGTCCTTTGAACAAGAGAGAGCAAAGACAGACATTAGAGAGGAAGAAAAGCGTAGTTTGGAGAACCCATTCTGTTTAAGTCTTTGCAAATACTGCATTTTTTAAGTATTTATGGACAAATAGAAAGTATCATTGGCAGAGATTTGGGCGCTGGAGTTTGGTGGCATCGTCAAGTAGCGTGGCATAATGGAAATGGTTGCCTTCATCACCACTACTGTCATTGCACTCACTTTGTCCCAGTGTGTATCGCTTCATGGTTCATCGTTAAGGAGGTTTTTAACGAGAGCAACAACATTTGATGAGGTATCCTCCCCTCCAAAACAAGCTGACCCGATGATTAAAATGACTAAAAGAAGCTTACCATCAAAAAACACTGTTCCTTCAATGCCGTTTGGCGGACAATGGACGCCCCGAAGTGGCTGCGAGCAGATCTACTGCTTAATTTTGCTACGCTTATTTCTCTAAAAAACATAGGATCTACACGTGCGATGACTCAAATCTTTCTTTCGCTTTTGGTTGAAAATGGTTAAGACACAAAAATGTATCAATCAAATGTGGCTTAAAGTTGGTTAAAAATTCAAACAGCCTGGCTTAAGTTTAATTTTTTTAAGTATAGTTCAGTTTATTCGTCCCAGATATAAAATGTTATAAAACACATGTTTACCTGTTCTGCAGAGGCCACGCTGGAACCCACGGATCCTGTCTGTCCCTGAGGGAGCTCCATGTTCAGGTCCAATCTAAACATGATGAATAAACCAACATTCAAATCTTATTTTCAAATAACAAACACAATGCTCATATAATACAGAATACAACAGACGACAACATTTCACTATTTAAGCTTCCAGTACTCTAAGAATGCATATCATACATCTATTTATGTTATTTAACATCATTTCACAAAGAATGTTGAGACACAGAATGAAAGCTTACCCTGCTTCATCAGCCAGTTGATGCATCAACCCCTCCACTTGATTCTGAAAACACACATTAGATTAGCAGTGAATGAGTTTGTCTTTACACACAAAGAACAAATGATATACGAGGAGGGCATTAAAATGTACCTGTGGAGTTGTGAGTGTTGTTGTGCTACTCATGGCGTCTTCCATATGGGCGGTCTGAACATCCAAAGTTTCAAACTGGTGCTCAAATTTGTCCATGAGAGATGAAATCTGAAGTAGATATTTTTTTTTAACCGAGAGGAATTTGTTACCAACTATAATTACAATTGAATTGTTTTTGCTAAAGTGGATACAATTATTTTATCTGTAATATACCTTACCTTTTCCAGATTCATAGATCTCAGAGCAGAATCCATGCTTTTCACCACTCCAGCCATAGAATTTGTGACCTGAGAAAAAAAACCACCTTCACTAAAACGACAACAAACAAGCTTTCTTAAGTCGGAAATTCCAAAATTCAACCGACTTTTAGGTCATTTAGCAAGATTTAGTGACCAAGTATTCAATATACCTGGTTCATTGTGACTGCAGTTTGGACCCTCGCTGCCACCGCATCTACCCGCGCGCTCATCCTCAGGAAGTTCAGAGACTGGTTCTTCTGTCTGATGGCGTTTTCTGCGTGGATCCTCGCCACTTCCATATTTCCCTTCTGGATAGCCTAGACGACACACGAATAGGTCGGTTCAGTTATATCTACAGTCAACACCAGCTGGGAGGGTTTCATAATGTACTATCTTGATGAAGTTCAACTTACTTTCTTAACCTTAAGCTTCTCTGTTTTTTCCTCTTTGTCACATTTCTTTGAACTGCTTTGGAGTTGTTTAGCAGCAAACTTCAAATTGAAGAGCTGTTCTGTGATCGGAGGTTAAAGAAGAACACAACCCAAACAAACACAACAAACAACCTTAGCTAGGCCTCACAGTGGGAGGTCTGGACAAACAAATCTGGCCTATTCATCTATCTATATATATCTCTACTCTATTTCCTCAACATAAAAAAAGTATTTAGAATTGTGTCTGACATTGAACATTAAAGCATTTAGCACAATTATTCTCTCAAGTACAGGTTATGTAACTACGTTTGCTATTTATTTGATGTATGTTCAATGCTAAATAAGAGACGGTTAAAACAATACTTTCTGATAGAACAGGTACAACAATAAGACATAGGCGCGTACAGAGTTATCTGTTTTTATTATTTTGAGTATTAAAAATACCCTGACCTAAATTGTGAACCACCAATAGTCGGTTGTGTATTTCCAACCGTTAGCAATGGAGCTTCCGAGGCCTTCAATCCAGTTGTGTCCTACTTACCACGCCTGAAACGTACTAGGAAATGGTAAGGTTATTCACTATGGCAGCCTTTGTGTATTTGGCGAATATCTAACAGGACAAACCATGTTTCAGATGTCTGTCCCGCATATATCTCACCGTCATGTTGTTATGTTCGTTCTCTATTTTGACGTTACACCAGTCTTACGTCCCCTCCTCATCGCTGTTTTAAAAGGATACTTTCCAATTTCGACATCTTGACTCGATTCTTAGCGAACCAGCAATAAGACCTTAAGGACTGTGTCCAAAAAAACAAGCTAAACAAAGCAAAACTAGGCACTGAAACTTAAGCCTTTCTGCTATCGGTCTTGCCTTCTTTTGCACTTCCTGATGTCTTACCAAAATATGAATGACGTCAGCGTCACGTGGTCATGGTATTCCATACGACGTCACGGGAGAGCTGTCCCCGCCTCCTCTCAAAACGTGAATGAAAAAAGAAAAACACCTTACATTTTAACATTAAAATACCATATTCTCCGTGTTTTAATTCAGGTTTTATTGAAGGTTTTGTTTACAATCGGATAAAAGTACCTGGCTGTTGCCTTGTACCGGCGGAGGAGTGGGTGGTGAAGCGGTTGATTGATGATTAGATGTATGGTGTTGATCACGGAGAGAGGATGACTCACCCCCGTCTGATGTGATGTTCACCCCGCAACAGCTCAGCAGTGCGGAGGCACGCCGGTAGTTCAGCTTGACACCTCGTTGTTGCTGCACCAATAAAAGTTTAGCAAACAGTTAATATGCTTTTAGGCGGCCCTATGATACCTCGTTTGCTTGAAACTTAAGTGGCTGTCACTTGAGACCGAGCGTCGTGCTTTACCGTACATTTCGTGACGCCTGATTGCCATGGAAACAGCGGTGCGCTGAGAGGAAACTGTCCGTGTTAACTTCAGCAGCAACCTTTCAGAGGGTCGGATAAACCTGTTGGATATCTCTGTGTTTTCCTTCTATTGCTACTCTGGCTTTACTTTCTATTTTAATTTGGCAACGAAACAGGTGAGTTTTTAAGTGTTGTGCAGCTGTTGTATTGTTGTCTAATCCTGGTGAAACGCAGTTAACGTTGTTGTTATTTTGTTAAATATTAGCCTGTGCAGTTGCTTAAGCTGAATGCCAACTTGTGACCTGTGTCCATATTGCAACAAATATTAATGCACCACTAAATAGTGACGAAGGGCTCATTTTGAACTAAATAGTCATTGATACATTTCGAGTTTAAATACCAAAAAACAAAAGTGGCCAGTGCAAAATATTGTTAAAATGTCCACCAAAGTAAAGGCCTATACCTCCAGATCACGACAATGTATTTAAGCTAAATAATATACTATATAATATGCTTTATTCCACCCTCCAGACTTCTATATATTTAGTGAATGTCCTCCCTGTTTGTCAAGTGGTGCATTTTGTGTCGTTTCTTTATTGCGCACAGGGAAATAGCCTAACCCAGGAGAGCCAGGCAGTGATGCTTCATTCAGAGCTGTATGACTCATATATTCTTATCTAAAAAGAAGCCAAGTGGCATAGGAGCAGCAGTGCTGCTGCAGGACCGAGCTGATGTAACCCCCCAGATTCACTAGATGCTGCTGTGGGCCTTGTTTGTGCCCCGAGCTACTGTCTGACACCTTTACACTCATGATACTAAAACAGGCTGTAGTGTCACACACTCTGCACTCAGCAGGTGATCCAGTGCTGTTTAAAGTACATCAGATGATTTGACCAGGACAGCTTGAAAACTGTACAAATTATATTCAACAGGGTTAGCTATTTTTCACTGAGATAAACAGATTTTTTTGTTAGTATTAAACTACATTAATTTAATTGATCTAATAGCATATCATTATCATGATTAAAAACAATAAATAAGAAGTACACAAATTCAAATAATGTAAGAAAAATACTATAATTATAAAAAAATAACATTAGAGTTTATTTAAGTTGAGTATATGGTCAATTATCATTTTTAATCATATACAATACATTACAATTGGCACATACTTGGTACCAATTCAAGTAGTGATATCTAACAAGCTTTTTGAAATGCATAATTCACATCTGTAATTTAATAATCTTAACACAATATAAGTGAGTTAAATAAAATCCTAGGTGTCATAAGAGCAACATAGATCAGATGACCTCAAAGTGCATTTTCAAGTTTTCTGTCAAGCTTTCTAAAATAGCAGGATTCACCTACCTTTTCCCAAACAATAAAGGTCATATATATTTGACCAGAATTGGATTTGCTAGAGTGTAGCAATAACGGAATAACCCAATAAATGGCAAATATGTAATTGACGCAATTAAAAAAATAAATAAGAAGAAATGTCCACACTTAATTTCCTTCACCTTTAAATAAAATGCACAAAACAAATCTGAAAGTACATGATTAAAAGCTTTAAATATCACGTTCATTTTATTTGATTGAACGCAATATAGACAGGATGAGATCTTTTATCTTTCAAAACACCCTGTGGATCCTTAAATGATCCCTATGTTGTCATAAAAACGTTAGAGTGTGAAGGTCGTTTATAGCCTACTAGCAATACACTAAAACATTTGCCTCATCAGTGAGTCAGCATACAATTATAAAGACCCTTTTCTCTTTAACAAATACAATCAATCAATCAATCAATCAATCAATGTTTATTTATATAGCCCAATATCACAAATGTTACATTTGTCTCAGTGGACTTCACAGTTTGTACAGAATATCAGTATGACAATACGACACCCTCTGTCCTTAGAGCCTCACATCGTACAAGGAAAAACTTCCAGAGAAAACCCACAGTTTAAAGGGGAAAATGAGAGAAACCTCAGGGAGAGCAACAGAGGAGGGAGCCCTCTCCCAGGACGGACAGACGTGCAATAGATGCCGTGTGTAAATTGAAAAGATAATACATTTGTAACATAGGTAGTCCAAATGTTTGGAAATGCATGTGTGTATAATAGGAAGATGAATCCACGAGGATATCCATCCAGGACTTATGATCCAGGACCACAGCCCCGACTCAAGATCCAGGACTCGCGATCCATGACACAGGACCGCAGGATCATCCATGACTCCGGATCCCGGCGTATATAGACACCAAAAAGAAAGACATTTGGGGAAGCTGGGTTAATCGGAACATGAGAGTACACAGGTAAAGACAGAGAGAAGGAAGAAGTAAGATGTCCCCGACAAACTAAGCCTATATCAGCAAAACTAGGGGCTGCAAGGAATTCTTATGGATGACTGCCTAGGAGAGAGCGCAGAGAAGCGTGTAAGACTGCGACTCCGCCTCCTGGTCTCAACTCCAGTTTGTCATGGATTAAGTCCACAATGCCCTGAAATGTTTGCCGAAATGAGATTTGCACCTTCCAAAGTAGGATGAATGCCGTCTCTCTTAATCAGACCAGGTTTTCCCCAGAAGGCTGTCCAATTATTTACGAAGCCCACATTGTTTGCTGGGCACCACCAAGACAACCAGCGCTGAAATGATGACATGCGGCTATACATGTCATCATTGATCAGATTGGGGAGGGGACCAGAGAAGAACAACAATGTTGTCACTTTAAAAACAGCAGGGATAAGCACATCACTTTTTATTAGAATCAATATGTCTAGTGTAGCACAGCTGTATATGGCTTGTTTGGTATACCAAGTTTAAATTCAGCAGGACTCCTACCTCAGATGAACATGTTTATACAGACAATAAAAACACACACAAGTCCAGCCTGTCTGCCGATTATAGATCCATCAACCAGATTTTCCTGCAGCTGCAAGCTAGTGAATAACACACAGGTGAGTCACACTGAATCTACTGTGACCATCAAATCGCGTGACAAACAGCTGATGACGTTCATAAACTTGAATGTATTTGATCAATATCAGAAAATAACTAAAATTCCCACTGCATGGGGTCGTTATTTAAACTTCACATCTTACAAGTGTGTTTTCTGCACTAAATAGCTTGAAGCAAATATCTGTTATTATGACAACCATTTTAAAGTCTATTAGGAATAGGAAATAAATGAGAGAACATGTTTATTTTACTTTTACTTTTGCAACCTGTTGCTTGTTACGACCTTGTGAGCAGAGAAGTACAACATGGGGAATTGAAAAGATTCAGTGCATCACTAAAAGCATGATCAAGCGATTACTGTGCCGTTCAGATGACTTTGCCATTTGTTATAATGCTTTTGCCATCTGGTGGTAGCATAACCCAGTCTTCACGGGACATATTAAAGGCGGGGTAGTCAGTATTTATTTGTCGTCATCATGCAAAAATTTCATTATAGCCTTTTAGAATATTGAAGTTCAAGTGGTACCAGCTTTATGGATAATGAAAAAAAAACATTCCAGAATTAAAAAATACAGATCTCATCCTGCAGCCGGAGCCATGCGCTATTTTCTCTCAGAAAACTTGAAATACAACAAGATGAAATATTATGATATATAATCTGAAATATAAAAGCCAATTCAAAATATCTAATCTTTGCCAAATAATGCAATAAAATACTGCTTAACCCAGCTTTAAGTATGTTGTTACCTTTGTTGATAAATTGGAACATTGACTATAATTCATACCTGGCTGATAAACAATGTCACATTGCATTTTGCACAAACTGCTATCAGAGAAAAAGTATGGTAAAATCATGTCTAACAAAAGGCCTCAGTGCAGTTAACTTATTAGTTTGACTGCAATTGTGCATTTAAATTCTTAGGAGCAGAGGAAAACAAAAGACCAAATGTTAGATTAGTGAAGTCCAGACTTTCAGGCTTACAAATAAATGAAAACAAATTATTAAGGAAAAGGATGTAGACGGGGTGTTAAGATGATAAACATGTCCAAACAAATACATTTTATGTGCACATTTTCCTTTGAAAAGGGCATATTGTACAGAAGACAAAAGTCCATTAGATTTAGTTATTCTAAGAAAAAAAAGTATATCAAATAATATGATGTCTACTCTGTTGTACTGCCTCGATCTTTCATTGGCACTCATTCCTTATAATGTGATACATATGTCAGACCTCTATTTCACAGGTGAGGATGATGGAGTTTCCAATAGAGAAGAGGTTCCACAACTTGACCCTTGAGCAAATGCAAGCTCTGGATAAAGTCTTGACTGAGGTTATCCCCATCCATGGACGAGGAAACTTCCCCACACTGCAGGTGAGAGCGAAAGACATCATCCGTGTGGTTAAGGATCGGCTGGTGGAAAGAGACATCCAGGTGAGAGATATAAGGCTCAACGGCGCGACGGCCAGCTACGTCCTGGTGAGGGATAACTGCCTCGGCTACCGAGATTTAGACATCATTTTTGGAGTGGAGCTGCCCAGGGAGGGGGACCTTCAGGTGATAAAGGAGGTAGTGCTGGGCACCCTACGAGACCTCCTCCCCTGTGGCGTTAACAGACGGAAGATCACATGCCTGACGATGAAGGAGGCCTACGTGCAAAAGATGGTGAAAGTTTTCAACGAACATGACAGATGGAGCCTAATCTCGCTTTCGAACAATAGATCTAAAACCGTAGGGCTCCGCTTCGTCAGCTCCCTTAGAAGACAGTTCGAGTTCAGCGTGGACTCCTTCCAGATCATATTAGACCGCATGCTGGAGTCTTACTGGGAGACAGAAAGGAAACAAGTAGGGAAGTTGGCATTGAATGCTGGGAATTTGTCTAAAAGACACAATGAGGATGAAAAGAAAAAGCAAGAGCAATCAAGTGTTCCTCGAGAAGTTGAACCTGATGTTGAAAAAGACTCCAATGGAGAAAACCAATCTGAGGATAAGACCATTCCTGTGCTTGAGGAAGAGCTTCCAGGTGCAAAGGTTGAGCGTGTGGTTGAAAAGCAGCAGGAGTTGCTGGATTCCACGAGCGCTAGCTTACCGCAGGGAGACGTGGATGGGGTCAAAGACGTTCATTCAGCAGAAGAAATTGTGTTTGAGATATGTGAAGAAAAAGGAGAAGAGAAAGGTCAGTTTCACAATGATTATCCTTTACTTTTAGCCGCTGAAACGTTATTACCGGTTGCCAGGGATCCGCTGATGACACATGCATGTTTAAATCTGCAGAGTTATGAAGACCTGTCTGCGTCACAAGCTCCTCCAACTGCAGAAAAGTCAGCTCTGCAGGAAGTCCATTGCGTGGAAACTACTCAGTTCAAAGTCGACTCCCCACAAGATTCACTTCTTGAATTTTCCTTTCCTCCTCCTGCTAAGAAAACTTGCAGCACATCACAGAATATTGTACCCGACTATTGCCCTTCTCCAAAATTACAAAGGAAAATGTCGAGGAAGTTGATCAGTAAGCCAGAGAATTGGTCTTTACTGACTGATTTGTCAGATCTTACAACTCCGCTGTTTCCCCCCATGGAGATACCCAAACCTCTTCAGCGAAAGCCTTCTTTACTGGACAGCGCTCAAGTTCATGGCTCAAATGTTCTGACCCCAAAGTCAGAGGCTTTACAAACCCTTTCAGCTCCCACATGCGGTCCAGTAAGTACACTCCAGGATGGGACTGGCTCCAATGAAACTGTGGAACAAACTGTAAAGCCAAAACACTCGAGGAAGCCTCCTGATTTAGAGACTCAAAGGCACACATATGGACAGCCTCAGATCAATGATCAAACCCCAGAAGCTGTACAGAACCGGTGCGGGGCGGGTTCATGGGTTGGTGCAGCCGGGGAGCCTACTATCACTGTCGAAGCGGAGTGCATGTATGGAGACTTTGACCAGGCGATGGACCACCTCCGCCTCCGCCTCATCGCCACCCACAAACCAGAGGAGATCCGAGGAGGGGGCCTGCTGAAATACAGCGACCTGCTGGTTAGGAACTTCCGTCCAGCCAGCGAGACTGAGATCAAGTCCTTGGAGCGATACATGTGCTCCCGCTTCTTCATTGACTTTCCCGACGTGAGCGACCAGCAGCGAAAGATCGAGGCCTACCTGCAATGCCATTTTATTGGCAACGAGGAGACGAGCAAGTATGACTACCTGATGACCCTGCGGCGCGTCATAGACCAGAGCACGGTGTGTTTGATGGGACACGAGAGGAGGCAGACCCTCAACATGATCACAGTCCTGGCTCTCAGGGTGCTGGGCGAACAGAACGCCATTCCCAACACTGCCAACGTTACCTGCTTCTACCAGCCGGCTCCGTACATGGCCGAGCCCATTTACAGCAGCTACTTCATCACCCAGGCCCAGCCCCCCCTCGTCTACCACCCCTACCCGCTACAAGTGCACGTGCAGACCGGCCTGGTGTAGCTACAGTGAGGTGCCCACAGAGAGGCATTGAGGCTGCTTTCAGCATGGTGCTCTGCAAGCATAGGCACAAATGGAAGTTTTATCGACAACAGGCAACCAAGGGCACAGTGCTCGTGTTTGATGCTTTGAAACCCCTCCCGATTATGAAATAAAAGGTCAGAACTGAAAGGGGTATGGAGGCGAAGCATGGCACCCTTTCAAGATGGACACTTTTAAAGAGGAAAGAAAGAGCCCAATTTCAGGGAGCTCGTGGAGAGGATTTATTGAAGTGGAGGGTCTTTGTTCATTGCTGTTTCAGCTCAGCTTTGGCTCTATGCTCACCGTCCATTGTTGAGGTGAATGTTGTAATGTGATAAATCTCTATGGCTTAAAGATACACATTTTCAACATATAAGAACATCATACGTGTTGGCAACAAAAATATCGATTAGTTAAAGTTTGAATAATGATAAATCCTTAACCTAAGGGTTGAAAACACCTTTATAGCTGGTTTTGTGACTCATCAGTATCTGTGGAGTGAATTTCAGATTGTACCTGTGTATTCACTGTAGAGTAAAAGAGCATAATTTACCAAGGGAATACATTAGAAATAAAATGCTGTGATATCTTTATGATATTGTAAGTTATATATCTGTGAATGTTAACACCTAATTTCAAGGGTGGAAACAGGAGATTGAAGGCTTGGTTCCATTATGACTGTATGGAAATGATTGAGTGGGTTAAGAGAAGCTAAACAAACAGATTAGGCTTTTAATTGGACAGAAAAAATGTGTGCTTGGTCTCCATCTCTCGTAATGATAAGATAATAATATTGGGGGTCTTTACCTTTCTTTGAACATTAAAAGCTTCTTTATGCAAATTCATTGCAGAGAAAAGCCTAATTATTTTCAACAGCCACTTAAAATATTAAAACCAAACTCCCAATCAGGGACATGTTACTGTGGGGTGTTTGTTAGTGCTTTTGCATTGCTAAAATTAATTGACGATGCAGTTTATCAAATCTATTCAAGTTTCCTTTCTACTTAAAATCCAGAGAGCATGTCAAATTCTGTTTTCCCTCGTCAACAGGCTGAATATATGTTTTGTGTGCATTACTTGGTGACTGTTTATTTTTCTTATTGATGTAAGTGAATGTTTTGCCAGGGTTTTGCTTGCTGATGTTACGGCACATTTGAATTTTTCAAGCAGTCGATGCAGCCAGCAGTTATTGCACTGTGTTTGTTCATTGTGTATGCATACAGTATATATACTCAGTATTTTTTCACAATACAAAGAAAAGAACATGTAAGCACAGGTAAGGAAATGTGTGCTGTTCACACTCAAGCTGAGACTGAAGCACAATGTAAATGCACAACAAAACAAAAGCTGTTGTTGAGTAATGAATGTGTTTCTGACAAGCTCGTGAATCCCCGATTAAATATTGAAACGTCTAAAACACTGTGTGCCGTATAGTGTAGCTTTGAAGTAATGTATCTATCTGGAGATTTTGGGTGTATCGTTACGACAGTTTGACATGTAGAGAAGTTAAAGTATTCCTGTTATGATATGTTACTGCTCAGATTGTTGTTTTTGTGGTAATAAATACAGAGAAAAATAGGTTTGTCTAAAGTCTTCTATTGGTGGTCTGAGTTACATTGTCACAGTTTAAAAACAATTACTAATCTGTTTATGCACATGCGATAACTAAGATGTTAATAAAGCACTGTAATAAGAATGTATTCATTTAAGTGGTTTGAAAGTTAAAAGGTAAAAAGCATCATCATATATCAGAGATCATAGGTAACACCATTTGTTTACCTTATTTGGTGAAGGATTATGACTTAACAGGCATTTATGTAAAAGAAAATCCTCAAGATTACTTCAATTCACTTTTCTTTTTTTTTAAACCTTATTTCTCCTCTAAATACAACACAAGTTGACTTTTAATTAGATCAGTTTAAAAAGCTGCTGCCTTCAGTCAAAACATTTCACTTAAATTTTAATTGCATTTCAACGTGAATTGCATTCATCAAAACAAAGCAAGCGAGTAAGAATGCAGTTAAAGCCTGTTGCTGTTTGAAGCATGAGCTTTTTAGTAGTGTGTAATACAGCTTTATGCAAAGGCTCCATGCTTTGTCAGCCTCCCTCTCTCCTGATGCTTATTGACACAATGAAGGAATACCCAGTTCTTACGCACAGCAAAGACTCGTGAAATTACTTAGAACAAATAATAAATTGTTGCCCCTGCCCCAGATCCTAAGATTGAGCTCCATGATTTTGGGACATTTGCTCAAAAGCAATTATTGAAAGAGCTTTCTATTTGGAGTCTTTTGAAGGTGGGTGTTTACAGTTCCATAATGCTTCATTTGTACTTTCACACAATTAATTATCCCACTGCTGATCTGATAATAAAAAAAACTCCACTACCTTTTCTGCAATCATGCATAGTATAGAGTCTAGACCATCTAATGATATGTTTAATTTGAATTTTTTTAAAAGATGGCTGATTAAAAAAACAAAACAAACATTTTAACTGGCTATTCTCTGCCATAAGCAAACATCTGCTGTTGGTATTCCCATCATTGTGAAAAATATGCCTTTTTAATTTCACATAGTCTTTTAATAGCTACTCGTTCCTATAATAATTGTAAAGTAATGACTAAAGACCTGTTTGTAGTCAGGTGGTTTTTGGTGTAATAGAAAAGCTAATTAACTCATCATTTGTTATCAATACTATAGTAAGATGTGATACACTTTGATTTGCCCCTTTAGAACCCTTTTAAAGTGACCTTTATCACTTTATGCTTTGATCCATTTGAATTCCCATGATCCTCCAGTGGCTCTGCAGTTTCTAGGTGTGGCAGAGCTTGGTGCGTCACAGCTCAACCTTGTTTGTTCCTTGTCTGACTCACCCCAGCTCTCAGTGCATTAATGCAGCAAACGCAGAATCAAAATGGTACAGTCAGGTTAGCGGCGACCCATCGGAGTCACTAGACAGTGCCGGAATTTTGTACTTATTGAATATTTGCCTGCGGTGCATGTTTTATGACCATGCGATTATAAAGATGACTCAGTCCAAGTGCTGGGGGAACAGCTTTTGATGGAAAAAACCCTGTTAGAAATCATCAACGAACGACCACAAACATCCAGAAAGCAGCAGACCAAAACCAAGAAATTCATTTTACATGTTTTTTTATTAAAAAAAGAAAACAGTTACAATCAAAACATTTTGTATAAAAGACAGGTCACATATTCTTACTCCATCTACAATAGAATGTTTTAGTCAACTAATCTGACGCTTCGAGGCGAGACTAAGAGCCAGCTACTATATGAAAATAAGATTCCCAAAAATATGAATCAGTCTTCTCACAAACGGCAAGTCATTCCAAGAAGGCGGGTAATGCTGCCGCCTGGAGCACCCTAGATGCTGATTTGTGTGTTTTTCTGAGCACCTGAAACTCAAACTCTTCAGCTCAAGAAAAAAACCAAAAAAAAACCTCTCTCCTATGAATGATGAGGTGTTTGGATTAGAGCACCCAGTGTTAAAAATGACAATTTGTGAGTCAGCTTTTCCCCTGATGTGTCAGAAGATTTACCAAACAACGGCCACAGTAAACAATATTGGTGCACCAACAAGGTATCCAATACTATGCAATTCCATGAGAAACCCGTGCTGATTGCAAAATGAGGAATCACTTGTTATACAACCATGCAGAAAAGCTCCACACGATGATTCTGACACCAACATTATGCCTGATTGTAGTGGGAAAAGGTAGTATAATGTGCATATTATCTACCCATCAGTCCATAGGTGGATAAAACAAGAGGGAATAAATGGCACAACCTACTAGGGCTAATCAGTATTTGCTAAATTGGTTAAAGCCAATAGAAATCATGATTAATGTGGCCAGCTAGCTCTATCACACACAGGTTAAAAAAAGTTCCTTTTGTTTTAATTGTTCAAACTATTAAAAAAAGACTGAAGGTATCCTGGCACAGTTTCAACATTCTTACACAATAATCCTCTCTTTCTCCAGTATCTTTACTACTCAGCTGCCAGAAGGTGTAGATAAATGTGCAAATATTTTCCTCATCACTCAGCGTGCGAAAAAGTAACCTTAGTATAATACAATGGAAAAATAAATATTATTGTGGAAGAGAGTACGCCAGGGACCCTTTGTTTTTGCACATGCTGGATGGAGAAGTTGTATTGAAAGCAACCATGAATAAACTGATGCGGGTCTGATCCACCAGGGAGTACGACAAATCCAAAACAGGATGCAGTGGCTTTTTACCCAATAAAAATCTCTTTTTTCCCTTAAAAATAAAAAAACTGAAAGAATAAAAAAGCACCCAATTCTAGCAGAATTGAAGAACTGATAAAACAGTCAACACCACCAGGAGGGAAGCAGGGAAAACAATAAACATTCACGGGCCAAGGACGTCAAATTGTCCGAGGAGAGCTGGGATATTTCTGTGGATCTGTGTTCTACTGACTGCAGTCACTGAAGTATTGCTAGTGTCTACTACACTTGAGCTGCAGATGGAAACAAATCTGAATGAGGTGAGCTCTTCAAACAAAGGCTCGTGGTTGTGAGTAAAGTGCCAAAAAAGGTTGACATCGGTGACACTGCACACATCTCACCGCGGTCATGACCGAACCACCACTACCATGAAGAGTTCTGTGAGATTACTCGCTGAGAAAAAACAATAACAGAGAAGTAAAATATGAGCACCATATTTGGCATCACCGCATCCTTCTTTGGTGACCAGGAGGAAGAGAAGAGGGGGCTGTAGTGTTTATTCCTAGACGTGAAACACACAAGAGGAGGAAGAGGAGCAGCGAGCAGTAAGGCTGAGGTGAGTTAGTCCAGCTGGAGAGTGTGGAGAGAAGGAAACTCCTCCATGGCAACACATCATGAGCACCAGCGATCAGTGTGAGAGTCATTAGCAGTCTAGGATCAAATCATTTATATATTATATATACACTTGTACAAAAGAAAGAAAAGAATCCCTGAAGTATTACTCATGTTAGACAGTTTCTCTTGAGGTCAGTGAGTCCAGCCCATGAGGTGGCTGACGCGGGCTTTCTCTGTCATTTTGCGGACCCTCCCTGAGCGGGACCGGCCTAGGTTGAGGGGGTCTTCCTTGGACCCGTGGCCGTCATCCTCAGACTCGTCCCGGTACAGAACTGTCCTGCGGCCCTGGTTACGAGTGCTCACCCGGCGAGACTTACACCGGCTGCCCCTCAGACTGCTAGCTCCCGCAGCCCCTCCCTGTGCTTCGTCCTCCTCCCCATCGGGATCTTCCTCCTCCTCCTCCTCCTCCTCTGGCTCCTCCTCTTCCTCAGGCTCCTCCTCTTCATCCTCCTCTGCTTCATTCTCTACATGTTGTACAGCCACCGGTTGCTGCTGCTCCTCTTCTTCTTCCTCCTCCTCCTCCTCCTCTTCTTCTTCTTCCACCTCTCCATCCTCCACCTCTCCATCTTCACCACCCTCCTCCTCCGCCTCTTCTTCTTCTTCTTCCCCAGCATCCTCCTCCTCCTCCTCTTCTTCTTCTACTGGTGGCTGCACTCGTGCCCTTTTAGGTCCCTGTGCCGCGTCCCCTCCCCCTTTGTGTCTCCTTTTCCCTGATGCCGCCCCCTTACCCTTAACAGAGAGGCGTAGCGACAGGCAGGGGGCTTTGCTGTAGTCGTGATCTCCGCCTTCGACAAACTTCTCCATCTCAGACTCGGAGCTGTTCTCGCTGTCCTCCGACGACGACGATGAAGAGGAGGACGATGAGCTGGAGGATGAATCTGATGAGGAGCTGTTGGGCCCAGACACAGCTGCTGCTACTACTACCACCTCCCCCTCTTCTTCCTCCTCATCTTCATCATCATCGTCGTCGGCGGCCTGTGGCACTTCTCGACCGCGGCGTTGTCTGGAGCCGTTGCTGAGATGAAGGTTACGCCTGTGCCCTGATGCGACACAACACAAAGCTTTAACGTCACGGTAAAGATTACTAGACGTCTAAACATTTGTGGTTTTTGCTGCAACTTTGCATTCTATTATTATTTTATTAACAAATAATTAAGATCGTTCAGTCTATAAAATGTCCGAAAGTTGTGGGAAATATCCATCACAGTTCCTCAAAGTCCACGGTCTCTTATTTGAGAGGAGTAAAACTGCATTTTGGGAAATGTTTGCATTACAATTCATCAATTCTTTATAAATAAATATGTTTGATGGTGTAGCTCTGATCTTTGTGAGAATGTATTGCTCGTCCTACCTGATTTCTTCACTGGAGTTGCCTGGCTGCGGGTCACCCGGAGCGGCTCTTGGCTTCCGCTCTCGCCACTCGTCCCTGATTCTGGGGAAGCAGGCTGGATGTCGTCCTCCTCTTCTTCCTCCTCTTCCTCCTCCTCCTCTGCTACACTACTGCTTTGCTGGGCTGAATCGACAAAATAATCCTTATTACTCATCCAGTAATCACTTTACTTTTCACAGTACATCCGTAGTGTGAAGCATTACATCTTACACACTCATAATTACTGAATGCTACAACATGCTGTGTGGCAATTCTAAATCTATTAGCTAAATCAAATGGACAGTGAAAATGCAGTTGGATCAGTGAAACACCAAAATAAAACTAAATGTATCATTTTGGAAGAGTAATGATTGTGTTACTTCCCCAACATTGCTTCAAGCAAAAAATTTTTTAATGATTCTGCACAAAATCAAGAGCTAAAACACATGGAGCCACAACAGCACATACCCTGGCGTGATCTCCGAGAACGAGTCTTCGTTGAGGTCTGGGATTTTTTTGGCTTCGACACCCTCCCTGACTTGTGCTTCCCTTTAGAGCTGCACACATGGAGACAGAGAGGAGAAGATACATGTCAGAATAAATAACAACATTATTTAAAAGCAGGATGCCTGCAACTTTCATCATATTGAAGGGGTCCTATTGAGCTTTTGGGGGGGATTTCCCTTTCCTGCAGTGTGTTGTATAGGTTTTTGTGCATTTAAATGTTCTGCAAAGGCTTCAATCCCAAAGTTCCCTCCAGAGATTCTTTCCCACACTCCCCCCCCCCCCCCTGCCTTAAACGCCTCCATTGGACTCCTTTGTTTACTTCTGCAACATCACTACGTAACACTTGCACTTGTATTAGCTGGCGCTCCTACAAATTGTACATGATAGGCTAAGGGCTGGGACGTCTCTACGTGGTTGACCAATCACAACAGAGCCGACCAGCTAACCAATCAGAGCAGACTGGGCTCTGGTTTCAGACAGAGGGTGAAAAGAGGTGGTGCAGCACAGCCAGTATGAGAAAAATAAGGGGCTTTCTGAACATCAAAGCATGTAAACATGTCACACTAGAGGAACAAAAACACAAATATGAGCCTGGAAATGTGCATAATATGGCCCCTTTAAAAGAGCGGCTTCAAAAGAGCTTTTTAGGACAGGACTCTTTAGGCTGAGGGTAAAACAGGCATTCATTTTAAAGCAGCTGACACCCACTGTAAAAAAGAATCAAAAAGATAAGATGATGAGGAATGTCAGGTTTGTGGGGCAATCAGCACCTGGGGGAGGGACTTAAAGGCGGGGAGCTGCCTCCGTTGTGCATCCTGTCCCTGTAACTCAGTCTCTGACGGGTCCGCCGCTCATTCTGTACGGCAGACTTGTAGTCGGAGATGATGGAGATTATGTTTCTTTCAAAGAAGGCCGACAAGCTGAGGGTCATGGTGTAGATCTAAAACAAGAAAAGTCAGGGTGAATCTACCAGACAACCACCATGTCAGACTTTACACAGACAATTCAGTGATGCTGCCTCACCTGTGATTTCTTGTTGGGCGTGTATGCTTTGGAGTTGCTGAAAATGAGGCGCACATCTTTGGCAAACTCCACTGGGCTTTCATAATTCCCTGCGCCCAGCGTCTCTGACACTGAAGCCAGATCCATGGGAGTGTCGATGATGTTCCGATAGTCCTGCATAAAACAAGTGCACAGATGTTCATTTTAATGTGGATTCTGCTTTTACGTGTATGCCCTCGGCATGCGTTTTTTGAAAGTTATTTCTAGTTCTGTGAGGCATGATTGTTTTACCGGATACTCAAAGATGTCCACGGGCCGCCTGAACGGCTCTGAGGCTGGTGACACCATCATTCGACGCGTCAGGTCTTTGCATTGCCCACGCCAAAATTTCACATCCAAAACCACACCGCGCTTCTTGGAATTCTGGTTGGCTCCCTGGCAGAGAGAAGAGGATGTCAACTACTACTAGAAATACTGCAGATGACTTATATTTGTTGGGGGATACTGGACTTTGATTTGCTCTTACCAGATTTCCTGTTGAGGTGCCCGGAGTGTCAGAGTCCACCTCCAACTCAGCCTGCAGAGGAGCAAAAATACATCTAAATGACTGATGATGATTTACAGCATAAAACTAATGCTGTCAAAATTATCGCGTTAACGGCGGCAATTCATTTTTTAAATTAATTGCGTTAAAATATTTAGCGCATGCGCAGAATGGCCCGCCCCATACATCCCACCAGCTGCAGCGCCAGGGTATGGCTGGGGTAGGCTACACCCGTACCAAGAAATGGCTTAGCCCCACCATGAAAAATGATGTTAAAGTAAGCAAAATAAAGTCCGCCAACTCGCGGAGTAAATTGCACAGACAGCAGTTAGTAAGATTGATTTCAGTAGCCACTTGTCTGGAAATACCGAAGACTAGAAACGGTTTTGAAAACTTTTGTCACGTAGTGATCGTCTTCTTAATAGAACATCTTTGATAATGTCTTCTGGCCAATCAGAATCAAGATAACGGCGTGGTGTTGTTGCAGGAAGTCCCGACGGAGAATACTTTTGCTGTAGTACAGGGGTGCACATAACTGGTACGCAGGTACGCATGCACGGCAACAATCTGAAATGCGTACCGTCACATGTGTCACAAAGCTGTTAACGTCGGTCTGTACAACGGAATTGTGTCAAAACTACGCCAACCGGCTGCGGAGG